TTTCTTTTAATATGTCTACAAAAATACTTTAAATTTCAAATGTGACTCACATTTCATTTCTATTGGAAGGTGCTGATTTAGACATTGTCTTAATAACATATTTAACAATAATTCAAAAATCTGATGAGTGAGATATAGTAGTTGATTCCTTGCTGTAGCACACTAAATAACATTTTGAGTGAATGAATATAAAGAAGTTCTTCAGTATATAATTTCGTTATCTTTTATCAACTCCTATGTGAGGTCAATACATCTGCCCTTGAGATGTAAAATGTTTTAGAAATGCCATTAGCACTTTTTCAAGAAGTCACTCCATTCTCAATGATTATAAAACAGTACATTAAATATTAGACATATATTTGAATTCACTATCCACTTTATTATTTACACAGTGAATATTTCCTTTATGTATGCTCTGCCTGAAATAAACATATTTTTGTAGGCATCTATTTCACCGGCTTAAGCATATCTGCTTGTTATGGAATTAAAGGCTTAGACTTCAGGAAAAGAAGAAAATCTGTGTGGAAATAATTTGTTCACTTGCTATTTTAACATTAAGACCATAACTGAGGAGAGTTTTTATACATTTGACATTGTATCTTAGTTTTTGAATTATTTTTCAAAAATATCAATGTCTGTCTTAACAGATAAAAGCATGTCCTCAGAATATGGTCTCTTCCAATTCTAAGCTTATACTGACCCCTATGGGTTATTGTGTCCTAATCTATTTTTGGCTTATCCTTTCAGAATATTTAGTAAAACACTTAAACATGTTTGCATTTAGGATATAATTAATTTAGTATGAAAGCCATAAAATACTTTTTATATTTTTGTCTCCTTGGATTATATAACAAACTATGCACAAATTTTATTCATCCTTTATTGAGGGGGGCCAAGATGTTTCAGTCCTCATTATATTTAGTATCAATGTACTAAGGACAAGAGAACTAAGTAGTATAATTTCTAATTTCCAGAAGGATATGACCTGATTATTTTCCTTAATATCTGTTCAACTCTCACAATATTTCATAGACGTAGACCATTTATTGGATAAAAGTTAAAGTTTATACAGAGATTTGTGTAAAGGCAGGAAGGATTATGGGACCAAAGATAAGTATAATTTCAGTCAACCTTGATGGAGAGACATTCATTCTTGGTTACACTGGGAATTTTTAATGTTGATATACAGGATTCCAAACCATACCCTTATGGTTTGGTTGATTATTTATTAATTTTTAATTTTTTTTTTAATGAAATGGAGTCTTACTCTGTCACCCAGGCTAGCATGCAGTGACACAATCTCACTGCAACCTCCACCTCCCAGATTCAAGTGATTCTCCTGCCTCTGCCTCCTGAGTAGCTGGGACTACAGAAGCCCACCACCACACCCGGCTAATTCTTTTAAGTAGAGATGGGGTTTCACCACATTGGCCAGGCTTGTCTTGAACTCCTGACCTCAGGTGGTCCACCCACCTCGGCCTCCCAAAGTGCTGGGATTACAGACATAAGCCACCGCACCCAGCCTATTTTTACTTTTATAGAGATTAAGTCTTGCTATGTTGCCTAGGTTGGTTTCTAACTCCTGGGATCAAGCTGTCCTCCTGCCTCAGTCTCCAAAGTGTTAGATGTGAGTCACTGCACCCAGCATATCCTTATGAATTTCAATAGGAATTACAAGAGGTGGTGAAAGGTTATAGACATTTATTTTCGTTTATGCTAAAGACATGGTTTTATTACCATCCTGGTGAATTCTGAAAATAAAATTCTTATTTTTAGTATTATCTCAAAAATTAACTGGGCCAGGCATTTTGGCACGTGCCTGTAATCCCAGCTACTCAGGAAGCTGAGGTTGCACTGAACTGAGATCAGGTTACTGCACTCCAGGCTGAGGTTGCAGGAGAATCCCTTGAACCTGGGAGGCGGAGGTTGCAGTGAGCCGAGATCAGGCCACTGAACTCCAGCCTGGGCTACACAGCAAACTTACCTCTCAAAACAGCAACAACAACTAATTTAAATGATAACCTACAAGTCTATATTTGAGAATAACTTACATAAACTTAAATTTTGTACCTAAATCACTCTGAAATTTCATTGGTTAACATCGATTTTTGTGAATCCATTATTGAAATTTTTACTATGACTAGGATAAGCTTGGTAATCCTGCTTTACATTTTTCTCAGGGTACAATGATCGCAGCTATAGCATATCTGGGAGATTCTTTATTTATCCATATGTAAGAATGAATGTGGACTATCTTCTAAGGCAAACCTTAAGCCTGACTATAGTACTCCACAGTTCTCTCAGCCCATTCCTGTGCATGTCTATTCTGACAAGCATTTTGGTCTTTTTCCTGAATTTCCCTAAGAGACTATTAATTTTACATACCATTTATTTGAATGTCAAAGTTTATATCTTGTCCTTAATTGACAACACGGAGCATTCATGCTCTGATTCTTGACAAAGTACAGAACCTTGAGCTCTCTAATGCCACATATGAATCAAAAGTCTAGTTATAAAAAATGATATTCTAGGAGGACTGCCAGAAGGCTATGAAGTCCATCCTTCCCTCCATCAGTATTTCTTAAACTATATTCCACAGAATAATTATAGTGCATAGTAATACATATTTCATAAGAAAAAAAGATTTTTCAAGGTCAAGTTTAGAACATATTAGGAGTGAAGGAATTCAACATGCTAATAAGCAGCTTCAGTCACAAAAGAAGAATGTAGCAGGCAGTACCTTCTAAGCTTATCTGAAAATTTTTTCTGGTATGGCTACTTAGTAACATTCTCAAAAAAATAATTATTTCTTTTTTTTTTTTTTTTTTTTTTTTGGCCCACTAGCCCTTAGTCAAGTCAGAGAACTGAGTTATTAGATAGCATGGTTTTTTTGTTTGTTTGTTTTGAGATGGAGTTTTGCTCTTGTCGCCCAGGCCATGCGCAGCGACAAGATCTGGGCTCACTGCAACCTCTGCCTCCTGGGTTGAAGCAATTCTCCAGTCTCAGCCTCCCAAGTAGCTGGGATTACAGAGGTGCATCACCATGCCCCACTAATTTTTGTATTTTTAGTAAAGATAGGTTTTTGCCTTGTTGACCAGGCTGGTCTCGAACTCCTGACCTCAGGTAATCTGCCCGCCTTGGCTTCCCAAAGTGCTTGGATTACAGGTGTGAGCCACCACGCCTGGCCAGATAGCATGTTTTGTACTAATTTACTTACTTAGACTAATTTGTATTTTGGCATTATAAGTTATAAATGTGTTACAGGAAGTCACCTGGAGAAATGGTTGCTCCTACTGAAATACTGGTATATATTGAGAAAACTATGCTTTGAGTTGCATTTGGGTTCAAATTTGAAAAAGTCATCATTTTAATTTTTTTTCATAGTTGGCAAAGAGAAAAACAAGACTGGTGTCTAAGACTTTTCTAACTAATAAAATAGTCTATAATTTATATCCTGTGTGTTCAATTAAATGTTGTATATATAACAACTTAAGTGAGCAAATTCCACTCCACATAGCCTGTAACTTAAATAAATTTTTTAAAGGTATTTAAAGGCTAAGTGTTACATTCCAGAAAGGTTAATAAGGACTTTTGTAATTAACACTGAATATCTCAGGGGAAAAAACTCTGTTGAATAGGGCACGAACTTATGAATATCTCAGAAACCCTCTTGAATGTAGCAAGAAACAAGATTCTGTACAAATTTAAAAGACTCATTCTCCATTTGTCTAATCAACATACTTTCCAAGACCTTAAAGTTACTTGCATGTAAGTGTTTTTTGTCTTTTTCTCTGGTACTCTGAACATTTTAAGGACTTAATAGGATTCTTTTCTCCCATAAATAACACACTAAGTTTAGCACAATTAAAAATACTGTTAGGTTTCTAATTTCCATTTCCACAATATTTTTTTTTTTTTTTTTTTTTTTTTTGAGATGAGCTCTCACTCTGTCTCCAAGGCTGGAGTGCAATGGCGCAATCTCGGCTCACTGCAACCTCCGTCTCCTGGGTTCAAGCAATTCTCCTACCTCAGCCTCCCTGAGTAGCTGGGATTACAGGTGTGCACCACCATGCCCAGCTAATTTTTTGTATTTTTAGTAGAAACAGGGTTTCACCATGCTTGTCAGGCTGGTCTCGAACTTCTGACCTCGTGATCGGCCCACCTCAGCCTCCCAAAGTGCTGGGATTACAGGCATTTTCACAATTCTTTAAACTTTATGGACACTGTATTATAACTAATACTTTGCTTTAGTTGTGGTCTACAAAACCACTGATAGGGCAAAGAAGAAAAAGACAAGGTTGTCCCTTAGTGGTTGCAATAATTAGGAGTAGGGATTCTAACATTCTTCGATTCCTAGGTGTTTACCCCACCTCCACCCATGCAATTTTTGTAGATTTTACGATATTTTCTTATTATTAGTTATGGGAATGACCATTTCAAGTTTGAGCTGTTTCCCAGAATATTTTCAAGAACCAATAATTCTAAAAAAATAACTGGAACCTTTATATGAATGCATTCCCTGCAAATGTGCATCATCACCTAATATGCAACTGTTCCACATGTCTCAACAGCTCCTGACATTTGAAAACAATGTTTGAGGTTTTATAATTAATACGTCTTATCCAACTAATTAAAAATAATTTTAATGTGCAAATTTCTTTTAACATCTTAATAGGATAAGAAATATATCAACAGCAAACAGAAATGATAAAGAGAAACTGAAGCACGCAGATTAATATAAATATCCCAATATAACTTGTTCGAGCAGCGGGCTACAAGAATATGTTGCGAACGTAAGTGAAAAACAGGATGCAAACGTGGGAAAAATGGTAAATAAGTGGAGTGAGGACGGACAAACACTGAGAAGGAAGAAGCAATCCCCTAAACAGCAGAGAGGTTGCTCAGATAGAGTTGGGCAAAACGTCAACTCCCACCTCAGGTCTATACTCTACTGGTGCCCAAATTCAAGTGAATGGTAATTAAAGGCGGGTTTTGCTCACACCGTTTTCTTAATTTGGCAAACTACGGTCTCCACATTAGCCATAAGCTTCCAGCCAGCAGTCTTTGGAAAACTCTCGGAAAAATGACAGCCGCGCTCTCTGAGGACGCGCATGCGCAACCTGAGCGCACCGCGCTCCTTGCCTTAACCAACCCATGCCTGGAAGGAAGTGACGCGAAGCTGAGGGGTGGGTTGGGCTCTTCGCCGGAAGTGTCTCGCAGATAGTAAATAATCTCGGAGAGGCGAGGGAGACTGTCTCCATCTTGTCTGCACCCGCGGCTCTTTTGACGTTGTGGATATGGGGAGCGTCCTGGGACTGTGCTCCATGGCGAGCTGGGTAAGGTGCTTTTTGCGGCCTCTGGGGTACTAATGTGAGAGACTAAAGAGAAGGCGACCCAAGCCGGGGCTGGGTGAGCCAGGCTGGAACCTGGTGCCCCACCCAACGGGGATGACTCCTCTGTCCCCGTTTTCTTACCTTCTACTCTCGTCACTCTGATTCAGCTTCAGGGCTTTAGGTCTTGCGAAGAACTGATTACTGGCCGTAAGGTGTAGTGGCGATGGGAAGATGACCCAAGTGCAGGAAGAGAACTAGAGTAGTGCCCCTCCCCCACCCCGCTTGTGCGCCCAGTCTCCCATTCTTTCAGGTCCCTTTGGTTGTTTTGTTTGTATCTGCCTAGTCCGTCACTACAAACGTCTTTGGCCATTTCCTTCTGTGGGGTACCCACTCTGTTGTCATGTCTTTCGTCTCTTTCCTGGTGACCTTAGACTGTCGCACTGTCGTTCCGGGAGTCATGTCGCCCTCTTTGTTCTTTGGCGCAGGTTATGATTTAAAAGTGCCTGTCGTCATTTGGGACCGCCTGGCAGTAATGTTAATGTAGTAATACTGTTTTTGAAACAAATAGTCGTAGCAGAGCTATGACTATTTGAAGTGTCCATTTCAAATTTCAACTTGAAATTGAAATTTTCAATTGACACACGCATGTTTTGTGCCTAAAGACAAAATTGTCAGTAGGCAAAAGGCATGCGTCTGTCATCTGAAATTTCATGCTTAGCTGTACGTTGCATTTTCATTAAAGTGTTGTTAGAGTAAAACCATTTTCAGTATAGTGGCAAGACTTTTTGGTCCATGTGGCACAAATTTCAGTTTACTTAAGATAACCTCTGCCCCCTCCAAAAGAGAAGGGAAAACATTGGCAGTGCAGTTAACAAAGATATTTGTAATTTTAGGAGAGGTTTTTGGATTCAAATCACTTTTCTTTAGTCTGGAATTTGTTAATTCTGTTTCTAACAATTGCTTTTCTGACTTCCCAAATGATTCCGTTATATATACTTTAACCACCATATTGATTGTTTTACATACGTCTTTTCAAAAAGGTTTGATATGCTTTAACTAAAAATGTTGAATTTTAATCAAATAATAATGTAGAAGTTGTTACTCCATCCAGGCTGTCCTCTTGATTACGCGTTATTGCTTCTTGCATGGAAACGTGGTATATTTTATTTCAATAAAGATATTAGAGAGTTTAATTATTGACATTTGTACAAAAGAGGCATAATGTAATAAACACTGTTGAAAACATAAGTGATTATGTAAGATTGTTTTCATCAGTTTTTTTAAATTGGTGTTATGCAATTTAATTTGTAATGTCATATCTCATCCAGTTATGAAGTGGGCATGCTGTAGTTTTTGTACTTAATATTTAAAAGGTGAGATACATGTTTTCCATTTTACAACACAGATTGCCTTTTTTGATTAGAAGAATGTCTGTGATAAAATTGACACTACCTTTTAGTTGCTGTGTTAATAGCGAAATACATTAGAAAGGTAGCAGCAATGAGGCAGTATTTTAGAGACAGGGTTTCAAGTATGTTGCGCGGGCTGGAGTGCAGTGGCTAGTCTTAGTGAACTGCAGCCTGGAAGTCCTGCGCTCAAGACTTACTGCCTCAGCCTCAGATAGCTGGGACTGCAGTCAGGTGCTCCCGTGCCCAGTTTGGAATTTATTTTATTGTTTAGTTTCAGTAAGCTTTTTCACTTTTCTTCCTGTGCCTCTGTCTCTATTCATTAATTGTTTGATTTTAGTGCAGGCCAATAGTCATTGAAGGGGACCACCTCTTCCACATTCTTAACAGTTGATATGTTCATTTACTTAGAGGTTTTGATGAAATGAAAATTTATTTAACTTTCCAAAAGTCACATTCAGGGCTGGCCATGGTGGCTCATGCCTGTAATCCCAGCACTTTGGGAGGCCGAGGTGGGTGGATCACTTGATGTCAGGAGTTGGAGACCAGACTGGTCAATATGGTGAAACTCCATCTCTATTAAAAATACAAAAAAAAATTAGCTGGGCAGGGTGGCGCATAACTGTAGACCCAGCTACTTGGGAGGCTGAGGCAGGAGAATTGATTGAACTGGGAGATGGAGGTGTACACTCCAGCCTGGGCAACAGAGCAAGACTCCGTCTCAGAAAGAAAAAAAAAATTAGCTGGGTGTGGTGGCACACACCTGTAATCCCAGCTACTTGGGTGGCTGAGGCAGGAGAATTGCTTGAACCCAGGAGGCAGAGGCTGCAGTGAGCCAAGATCACACCACTGCAGTCCAGCCTGGGCAACAGAGTGAGACTCCATCTCAAAAACAAAACAAAATAAAAAACAGACCAAAAAAAAAAAAAGTAACATTCAGATCATTAAATTAGATCAGGTATGCCAGAATTAAAAACAAACCAACCTCATTCTTTCTTAGTACAAGTTTCTACAGGCTTAATCAAATTTAGTAAAACCTTCTTTCTTATTTGCAAAATAATCGTAGAAAATTTCTGAACTAAAAAGAGACAAATTATGTGTAATACCACTGAGCAGAAATTGGAGTGTTAAATTGTTCACTTTTTGTCTGCTGCTAAGAGGCCTAGAATTAGATTGATCATAATCCTTGGTTCATGGCAGTATAATTTTTTATTCATGCATGTTTGTCTCTTTTTTTGAATTACTTTAAACATTATAAACATCATACCAACTAATCCTATACTACAGCATTACCAGCCAATAATACCTACTTACATGCTTTCCCCATCCCAGTCTCAACATTTGTATTAGTGAGTAGACAGAACAGTACCTATCAAGATATTTAATATCGTTAAGTCATTAAGAAAGAACTAGTGATTACTGGGTGACCATTTTGTGCCAGTATCTTCCAAATTTTTGTTGATAACAATGACTTGTTTTATAGAAAAGATTTATAATTGCTATGAATGGTCAAGCAATGCAGAGTAAAAATTAAGTACAAATGTCTCCCCAAAATCTTCTCTCACAATGCATATATGCAAATAGGTGGATGAATAGACAAAGATATATTCTTAGGCATGGCAGCATTTTAAACACATTTTTAAGTAAAGCATTGAATTTAATTTTTCTTGAATTTAACAAAAGAAAAATAAAAATTAGGCCTGACACGGTAGCTCATGCCTGCAATCCCAGCACTTTGGGAGGCCGAGGCGGGTAGATGACAAGGTCAAGACTTTTCTCTAGCTGTGTGCATCTCTCAGTAAGTTCAGATACATGTAATGATTGATTGAACCTTGGAAGTTATCCCTGCCAGAATCTTCTGACCTGCTCTAGTCTATACTGGTAGTCACTGGATCTCACTTTATCCTCAAATGAGGATGTACATTTTCTGTCTCTTAGGTCGAAACCTTTTTTGCATTGCTTGTTTTCTTTTGTGGTTGACGACCATGTTTTGGTATAGTGCTCCGTAACAGAAGCACATAGGAGGTATACTTTGGTCTTAGAATTCTAGATGGGAAGTCATTTTCCCTCAGAATTTGGATGCTCCTTTGTAGACTTGCAGTGTTGCTGCTGGGTATTCTAAAGTCATTTTAGAAACTTTTTCTATGTGACCTCTCCCTCCTTCCCTTCTCCACCATTTAATTACATTTCTTGAGTTCTTTAATTTTGTCACCTGTATTTTCTGCATTGTCTCTCTGTTACTCAAATAGTGTGCCTCCTGGACTGAAACTCCAGGTTTCTTCCTTCCTGCCTTTTGAGTCTGCCTTCTTTTACTTAGCCTAATTCATTTGAGTTTCATTTTTCATTTATATGTTCTTATTGTTGAGTATTGTTATTATTTGGATTTACCACAATTTATCCATTCACCATTTGAGGAACATTTCCAGGTTTTGATGATTACAAATAAAGTAGCTATAAGCATTCCCATAAAGGATTTTTTTGTGTGTATAATTATAAGTTCTTATTTCACTTGAATAAATATCTGAATGTGGATTTGCTTATTCATACAGTAAGTGCATGTTTGATTTAAAAATAATAAACAGTCAAACTGGTTTCCAAATGGTTGTACCATTTTTCATTCCCAACTAATTGTTCTGCATTCTTGTCAGTAGTTGGTATCATCAGTTTATTTCATTTTAGCTATTCTAATGTGCATATAATAGTATCTCTGATTTTAATGTACATTTCCTTAATGGTTAATCATTTTGAGCACTTTTTCTTGGCTTATTTGCTATCTATATGTCTTTGATTAAAGTATCTGTTTACATATTTTGCCCATTTTTTAACTGAGCTATTTGTTTTCTTATTACTGAGTTTTGAGAATTCCTTTTATATTCTGGATGGAAATGATTTATCACATACCTGACTTGCAAATATTTTCAAGTTTATGGCTTGCTTTTTCATTCTCTCAGCAGTGTGTTTAAAAGAGTAAAAGTTCCTAATTTTGATGAGGCCCAATTCACTTTTTTTCTTTGTGAGTCATGTCTTTTTGTATGGTATCTAGAAAGTCTTAATTTTTATATATAGTTTGATTGTGGCTTAAGGTTAACTTTTTTAAAAAAGTATGAATATCCAGTTTTTTCAGCACCATTTATTAAAATAATTATCCTTTCCATATTGAATTGCTTTGGCATCTTTGTCAAAAATCCTTTGATCATATTTGCATGAGTCTATTTCCGAACTTTGTTGTGTTCTCCATAGTGTGTCCAGCCTTTTCCCTATATCACTCTGTTTTAATTACTGTCACTTTATGCTAGTCTTAAAATCAGGCAGTGTGTCTTCCAGCTTTGCATTCTTTCAGACTTGTTTGAGCTATTCTAGTGTTTTT